GTAGACAAAAAAAGTGAATTATTAGGTAAATCTGGATGGCTGGATTAATGGGATGCAATAAATATAAATAAATGCTATAAATAAGTAATGCTACAAAATAAGTGTGTTCTTAGGATTATAATATACAGATTAAGATGCAGTGAGCATGCTATACTAATAATATACAGATTAAGATGCAGTGAGCATGCTATACTAATAATATACAGATTAAGATGCAGTGAGCATGCTATACTAATAATATACAGATTAAGATGCAGTGAGCATGCTATACTAATAATATACAGAATAAGATGCAGTGAGCATGCTATACTAATAATATACAGATTAAGGTGCAGTGAGCATGTTATACTAATAATATACAGAATAAGATGCAGTGAGCATGCTATACTAATAATATACAGAATAAGATGCAGTGAGCATGCTATACTAATAATATACAGATTAAGATGCAGTGAGCATGTTATACAAGTTTACAGATAATTTAAAGAATATGAACATACTATGACTTACTATGACATACTATGACACTTCCTCTGAGCCCTCCACCCCATTATTCACAGGTGACACTATCATTGGAACAGTTATTCTGTTTTGAAAAGCAATGGGTTTCCTTTTTGGAGTGACATTAGTGATCCAACGTGTCTTAACCTGTTATTCGCTGCCTTTAAATTCTTTCCCCGAGACACCTTCATGAAAAAACCCAGATGTGTCTCACGCATGATTTCCTTTCCTGCCCCTAAAGCAACATGAAATTCCACTGCTTCCAAACTTTTTACTAGCTTTTCTCAGTTTTGGTCTTTTGACACACTGAATGACAAGAAGAAGGGTTAGGGTTTCACTGACTTCAACTTACTAGAACTGCAACTTCCTTTGCCTTCTACTATATATTGTTAGCCATTTCCATCACCCTTAACCTGCTGTGAAAAGTCAAGTATAACCAAAACTGCAGCTTCTGGTATCCAGCAACAGTCAGAAGCTTTAGCCTCAGCTCAAACCACCAATTTGTTGTCAATCAGCTGCAGCTTCAGCCTCTCGTTGCAGCTTTGACAGCCAAGAATTACATTTGATGTTAATGTCAACCTCTTGTTGTTATCATTTTAAGTCCTGCACTGCAGTAATAATTGACTCACAAATTCCAGTTGGGACTTGATAGATTTACAATTTATATTCTCAGTCAACCTTGAGAGACATTTATGAAGACTGAGTATTTTACTGGAGCTGCTCAGAGAGTAAATAGTGATCATCAGTATACAATGGAGAAAAATCTCTGCGTTAGTAAACATTGCTTGAAAACAACAGTGGAAGATGGTAATTGGGAGTGGAAAGAAATGTGAGTGGAAAAAAGATTCTAAAGACACTGCTGAATTCAGGAAACAAGAGTATGAAGGAGGTTCAGATTATATTTATCAATGACTGAATAGATGTGGCCTCCGTAATGCGATGTATGCACAGACTGCTTACACAAGCTATAGATGCCAAATTTTTAAGAGTTCTGTCACAGATCAGAATATCTACGGCATGTGGCTGGAAACATCAATATCAAAAGCAATGACATCCAAACAGCAACCTTACAATCAAAACAATGATCTGAAATGGAAATAACTTGAGGGAGTGTAATGTACTCAAATCACATAGAGAAAAAAATGTGTTTTTTGAAAGAAAATTCAGTTTAAATGTGCGCGTGTGTGTGTGTGTGTGTGTGTGTGTGTTTCTGCAGCGATTATATCCTGAGGTGAGACAGGAGATCCACATATAAATTGATATGATTGATTGATTTATTTAGAGTGCTAAAAAATATATTTCAAAATGACTCAAGGAGATCATAGAGAAGTTAAGCTGAGTTAAAAGTCCAGTGAAGACATGCATCACATCTCTACCTCTATATGATGTGAGAAAACCTGAGCCAGTTCAGCCAACCTCTGCAAAAAAAAAATTAAAAAAACATGGCAGCTGCTCTACTCAAATCCCTCTCTGCATGTAGGAGTGTTTCAAAGTAGCTTGAGTTGTATCTAAGTCTTAGATGAACCTCTCAATGATGACTGGGATGCACCGCAAGGAGCTGTGTAGGTTACATAGGTACATGTTGGCTCAAATTATAGTAATTTAGACATCTTCAAATAATGAAATGTTAATTTAAGTCCTTTGTTTAAACTTTTATGAAGTTTACATAGCTGCTAAATACTCAATTACGACCTTACTATACACCAGGTTTAATATTCATCCCATCGATCCTAAAGTAAGGATCCAAATACATTCATTACAGATTGAGGATGCATTAAGACACAGTTAGGCCACATCTAGATGTGGTCTCTTATTCATTCATCCACATATATTCAGCAGCAACCCAGGAAAACATTATTATACACAGTGAACCTAAACTGAAAACTGCTGGTCAGTCCAGCAATGAGCTGGAACGCACTACAGCTTCAGGTGATGATTCTCTGAGGACTTATTGATTGAGGTTTATAGCATCGTTTTCTCTTGTCACTCGATTTTGTTATTGTACGATGAATGATTTTATATGACCTATTCATAACTTCATCACATATTTCTAAGTAAAAAACTTTTTTATTGACAGATGGACACATTTTGAAAATGTCTCTTTGTTTTATTTGTCTTGTTGAACATTGTGTTTGTCCAGCCTTCACAGCACCTACATGATTCAAGTGTACTAACATGTTATTCGTCCTCAACATCTTTTGCTTTCAGGAGTCACTCTCATTTGACAAACAGCAGGAGCTAAAGGTTTATTTGTTTTTTAAAGAAGAGTCATGGACAGAAATAAGCTGTCCCATCTGTGCCCGAGTAAAAAAATCAAACACGAGTCTGCATGTTCTCAATTAGTCGGTCGTGACATTTCTTGGAGCTCTTTAATTGCATAATCAACATGTTTCCCAGTTTGCTCTCGGTCAACAAAAAGGTTTGCTCTGTGGCCTTAATGACTCGAATCAAACAGGGCATAGTCTGTGTTGGACACGAATAACAATGCGATGCTGAGATGACTAACAGCTTTTCTTTGGGCTGTCTGCTCATCAGAAAACATGAAAATGCCACGCCAGATGGATGGAGCATGGAAATATCCCCCTCAGTGTGTTTGCCAGCGCAGCAATCATTGCTGCTGCCTCTTGGCTTGCCACACAAACAGCAAAGGGGAAATCTGGTGTGCAAGAAACACATAGGTACATCCTCCCAAATGTGTTCGTCTTTCCTCCCAGTCCCAGTGTCCACTCAAGGTGGAGGGGGACAATTCAATCTCCTAGGTGTGATAGAGGTGGGGACCCTAGGATAGCTGATAGCGAACAGAGAGAGAACAAGACAGAGGAGATTTGTCCTCGTTTTCCTCCTTCTTGTAGAAAATGGGATGACTTTGGGCTGGAACCTGGAGCTGCTCCAAGAGTGAAATCAGACAGATGCTGGAAAATCCTGTTTCCAAAGATTGATTGCAACAAGGTTAAAGAAGAGCAAGAGAGAAACAGAGCCTGATGGATGGATGAAATCGTGGAAGTGAGTGTTTCAAAAGAGGAAGCTTTGTAATCGTGTGATCCTCAAATGGGAGGCTGATAGACCACTGACTTCTCCTCATAAAGGAACTGGAGAACTGAAAGGAGATGTGGTACATATTGAAACAGGGAGATCTAGATGTGTCAGAGGATGACATAATGTGTGAATACTGAAAGCTGAATGAAGAGGAAAATGAAATTAATTTCATTTCATATTGTTCCCCCTGTAATGATTTATGAGAACTGTTGTATAAAAAAGTTCATGTTCCGTACTTAGACTCCATTAAAATGGAGAAAGGTCCTTTGATTGATAGTGTTTTTGCTTTGTCTGAATATCTTTTTAAAGTATGGGAAATGAGGAGAAAAGTAACTTATAACAGATACATTTCTCAGCCTTTATTTAATATAATTAATTGGTTTATTTACTGGATCAGATGTAAACTGGAACTAATGAACAAAGATTAATTTGTATTTGTGTACTGCGCCTGCGACTTGTATCATGGGCTGTGTTGGTATAGCCTATATATATATATATATATATATATATATAAATATATGCATCTATATAAATATATATATAGTATACATTATTCACATTATATACAAAGGGCCTACATTTTTAACGCATATATGTAAGGACATATAGTGAAAGTGTGGTAAAACACAGAAACAATTCACAAAAACATTCACATAACTCACATATGCTGTAGTTTAATTTTATTATATGATGGAGGATTAGGGCCACGTAAATTATTTTTTAAATTTCGAGAATTTAATTTAAAGTCGTAAATTTACGCCTTTATTCTCGTAAATTTACGAATTCGAGACCAGCCTGCGCAAAATGATGAAAGTAGAACTGTTAAAGTATTTTCCTCTGCAGACAGCTTCCTCCAACTCAGTGTGGTTCTTTCTTCAGTTTATTGCAGTATCTTTTCAGGGTGCTGATATTTTATGACAATGTGAAGAGGATGATGTGCCAAAAGCATGTGTAGTTTCATATCTGCATAAGTAAAGCCCAACACAACTATTTGTGTCTGTTATCGGTCTGCCTTGTTAAAGTGTCTCGTGTGCACAGACAGTTTGTGTCCTGTTCATCATTTTACAGATAAACAAGGTCTTACAAGTTGAAGTGAAAACTTCTCTTGAACTGTTTTTACCGACTACACAAGGAAGTAGACTATTTCCTTATTAGTGAAACCTTTAGGACAAGACGCTCCATGTTTGTCATTTGAGAACAGGATGCTGCTGCTAATCTGATAAAGACTAAAATAACCACTTTATTATTTTATTCTATAAGACTTTAAGAGTTCTACTTTCATCATTTTCGCGCAGGCTGGTCTCGAACTCTAATCTTGTAGATACGATAATTGCCTGAATCCACATGCTATGGGTTTTTACATGGCCTTGGTATGTGTTTATATTTTGGTGTGCGATAGTAACAACAGCGGTGACGTCATGACAGCCTCGCCGCCCCAACAGTGCATTCTGGGTCCAACCCAAGATGGCTGCGCCCTTGCAGAAGTGCTGAAGAAGTGCCTCTCCGGAGCCATTCTCGGAATTGTGTCAGATTTCAGCAGAAACCGTTGCCCCAAATAAGCTACCAGGGTCGCTGGTTTGTAAAAAAAAAAAAAAAAAAGACCATACGACCCCCAGTTCATCGACAATTGTGGTCGGTGCTTCGTGTGGCTGTGGCAGACTGTCCGTGTGAAGATGGGCCTCGTCTCCAGCCCCTTCCCATAGCGACGAGCCGTGGGGAGAGGAGCCGCAGATTCCCATGCAAACACGCACCCGTCCAGCTCGGATTTGACGGGTTTGACATACTTTACAGGCTGTGGACGCTGCCCTACAATTTTCTAACTAGGATTGTTTGTGCGACCGTATCTGTCATCGTCCGGAGACGGAGAGGTTCCTCAGCCGGGGTCGATAATCCCACCGCACCAAGGTCTGCATGCCTCTCTCCACACAACTAGCGCCATTTCTACACATCTGCTCACTTTCACCTAGCCCCCCTACTCACGTTGTTTCACTAGCAACCCGGAAAAAGTTTTAAATAGCACTAGCCTCTCATGCACTTTGACAGCTGACAGAGAAACTCAGAGGCAGCCTCAGGGAGAGAGCTGTCACATTAGCCGCGCTAGTCAAGCTAGCACTTAGCTAGCTAACCGGGTTATTATGCTAACTGTCCCACCAGCTGCTCGTTACTGAACAGAAGAGATGTTTATTGCCATTTGCACAGGTACAGGACAGTACAGGTACAGGACAGTACAGGTACACTGGAATTCTTGTGCGTTTCTCCCTGACTTCTACAAAAAAGTTAAAATGATATATAAAATAGAATAGCATTATAAGAAAAAATAAAAGAGAAGAAGTACAAAAAAAAGTAAATAAGTTGTAGTAACAGCTAAGTGATTCTGTATAAACTGTACAGAAGCTATACACTGTATTAAATCAAAGATATAATACAAAAAAATAACAAAGGGGAACAGTGCACAATGAAATTAAAATATACATATGTTTTCTTATTGCACTTATTATCTCTTATTGCACCTGAGGTTATTGCACACATATTTTTCACATTATATAATTGCACAAGAGCTCAATATGTGAAGTAAAGTTTAATTTAGCCTTGCCGTATTAACATTATTTTAAGGCGCACTTGCCTAACAAATGCACAGCTGGCTCTTCATATGCTGCTTGAGTATTGTTCACAAGGCTAATTTGAGCCCTACATGACATGATTAAAGTGATGCTCTCAGTGGGAGTGTGATAGTAACCCGGATGTTATACTTCAGAGTTGTACAGGTGCTTAATTCAATTCAATTCAAAAAACTTTATTTGTCCCCGGGGGGCAAGTCAAAGTCTCACAGAGCATTAAATTAACAACAGTACAAGTAAACAAAACATTTTAACCTAAATATAAAGTGTCAATTTAAATACAACTTAAAGCTTAAACTTAACTTCAAAATACAAAATATAAAAGAGTAGATATAAGTGGACAGTGATCGGACTAACAGATGTAAACAGATGTAAACAGAACTATGTGCAGTAGTGACCAGATGTAAACAGAACTATGTGCAGTAAACAAGAAATAAATATATATATACAGAGCTATGTGCAAGTAATGATCCCCAAGTCGATGCTGATGCAAGTCATGTGTTTAAAGTTAAAGTTCAGTATTGTACTGAATAAATGCAGATGGAAGTCTGTTAGGTTTCAGTTTTCAGATTTATTTTTGGCCTTTTTGGGCCTTTAATGGAGAGATAGGACAGTGGAAAGAGTCTGAAATCAGGGAGAGAGAGAGAGTGGGGATTGACATACGGGAAAGGAGCCACAGGTGAGATTCGATCCCACCAGCGCCCCATAGGTTTCAGTTTTGTTTTGTATTCAACCAGTTCCTTCACAACTGCGCACTAAATATGACTTCTAACCATAATCATTAGTTAAGAAATATTAATCTATGGATTTCTGTGGCAGCAAAACTCACTCTTCTTTGAGAAAGAGTTAAAGTCATTACTTCACAAAAGTTCACAGAGTCCAATCCTCTGTTGCGTGAGGATTTCAATGCCTAAAGTTTGATTTTGAGCAATAGAAATATTTCTTTGCAAAACATTTTTCCTGAAGTCTGCAGAAGCCATATTCTCACACTTGTCTAGTAGAATACAGGTCCAATCTTGATTTAAAACAAGAACTAGAAAATACAAGTAAGTTATAGTAGAGGTGCTGGAAGAACGTGATTTATTAAAAAGTCAATATGGAGGTATGTTGGTTGTTGCATAATGTGTGTGATGGCTAGAACTGATGTCTTAATGTTTTGATTTTATTTATTTATTTGTATTGTGGTTGGGTATGCACATCCAATGCACATCCAATACACCTGCAGTTGTTCACATAGTCAACACTGTTGTGCAGCCACAAAATCTGTCCTTCTGGCCACTAGCTCTGTCAGAAGATGGAACTACAGGCTGTGTCATCTTGGATTCGTAGTCCCCCTCCTTCACTTACATGACAAACTGTCGGTTAAGTTACTCTATGAAGAACAAATATTTGATTCCAGAATTATGGAGGAGGATACATGACACAGTGTTTTGGCTAACTCTGATTTTCAGGCATATTTATACAAGCCAAGTATACAGCTGAAGAGCAGCAGAGCGAGATTGGGGGCTGTGATTGAACATATACTTGTAGGCACTACTGGCCCAGCTCCTAGAACACGCATCGTTCCAAGCAACAACAATATCCAACAAGGCAATTTAAAGGCACTTCAGTCAGTATTCATAAATTCATAGTCTCCTGACAAAGAGCAAAGTGGTAGTGGAACGTTGTGAAAGTTTAAATATTCTTTTTCATGCCTTTTTTCCCCCATTTAATTTTTAGTGAATGCAAGTTTCTCACTATAGTAAGAGGCTGATAATCTGTGGTACTAAAATGAGCTTTCCCCTGCAGGGCCCTGATGAAAATGGACTCAGACTTGCTTCACTCGCCGGCCGTGGGCCTGGCAGAGGAAGAAGAGGCTGACATGAATGACTGGAAACTACCCCTGGCCTTCATGAAGAAACGGCACTCAGAGAAGATTGAGGGCTCCAAGGCCTTGGCACAGAGCTGGAGGATGAAGGACAGGGTAATTTTTCTGCTTATCTATGTGTGAAAGGGATACAGCGGGTTTAGGATGCTCCCTGTACTGTGGTTTGAGTTTGTAGGAGCTCTGTCGCAGAGTTACAGAGGGAACTACATTACATCTGAGTTGGAAATGATGATAGGTTTTGTCAGAGTATCTTAGACAAGCTGCAGAGTCAAACAGTGAACAGGTCAACACATTGTTCTTGGTCTATTCAGGGGCTCTTTAAACTACAAATTTGGAAAAAGTAGGCTCTAAAATGCAGCGCATGCTACTGTACATAGCAACATAAAACTTTCACATAACTTTACTCCCCACTGTCAGACAGCTGCCTTCATATACATATATGCAAAAAATGGGGCAAAATCATTTTGTCTCTGTAGTTAAAGGATGTAAAGCTCCAAAGCTGAAAGGAATTGGTGGACTTTTTAAAATTGTTTTTACTTTTTGCAAGTTAAATGAGCTAAGTAACATCAGTAATATTGGTCCAGTGTCCACTACATATTAAAATACAACAGAATTGTAAAAAAAAAAGTGTAGAACAGGGGTCTTCAATTGCAATTCAACAAGGTCTGATTCAAAGATGTTCCTAAAGCGGAGGTCTGGAACAGCCAAATGTCTCACTTGTGATATGATCCAGTGCTTTATATTTTGAAGGAGCCTTGTAGTTGTATCAACGTCTGTAGGCAGTCCTGACTATCAAGTCATATAAAAATCAGACTTCAGCATAGTCACAGAGAGACACCTGTCTCTGCTGACTCCTCTGTGTGTATCTGTATTCTCACAACAGCCATTTGAACTCCCAGTGCCTTGTCTCAGCAAATACTTTGATCGACTGTGTAGCGACGCGTGTGTCGATTTCAAACATATGCATTCATCTGTGACTTCCTTTCCACTGAAAAACCTCACCTAAGGCGAGAAAAAGCTGCACTGTTTAAAAAAAGAAAGAAACACTCTTCAAATTAAACCTGGGTGCAGATAGGATTGGACCTAAATCTGGATCTGAACTGGTGTTGGCCATTCTGTGATGCCTGCCTGGTACAGAGAAAGGAAATCAAAAATGGTCTTGGTGGGATATAAGGATTATGTAGCCCCTTGGCATCTGAGGCTTCATTGTGGAAAAAGACAGAGAACCTCAAAAACTAGTGCATTAGGAAACAGATCTGTCAGATCAACAGATGCTTTGGTGTGCACTGAGAGGACGTCACTCTTCATACATTAAGGACACATTGACAAATCATCGGCTACCCTCCTCTTTTTTGTCCTGCCAATTCTTTTATTCTGCTCAAGGCTTCCCTTGCTACGCTCTGACAGAAGATCCTAAAGCTTGTCCTCATGAAAGTGTTGCAGGCTCTTACAAAGCAGCTGTTTGATCTGCTGCAGGCCTACAACCTGATTCTTTGATTGCCTAATTGTTACAGAGGGCTACATATATAATGATTTTATACATAACATGAAGAAAAGCTGCACCTGTTGTAGAAATTCACCCAGATGGAAATGTAACACCTCTATGCTGTTAGCACATCAGTAGAATTACTGTACAGTGCCCACTTAAGTGTCAAGCTTCAGGGAAGTGTTGAATGAGACGGCATCATTGAGTGTGACTATTTATTTGAAAGAGGTAATGGAGGCAGGCTGGAAATGGGAATTCCCATCAGAAAGTCATGCTAAATCAACTGTGTAACATTTATCATTGCTCCAAGTCTTTTCAGGCTAGAATCCCTCACTTGTAATTGCGTAAGAAGGAAGTGTCCCTTCACATCTCTGTGCTCAGAGAACTGCAAAGACAGAGCGTGTTTTGTGTTTCTTGCAGGAAGAATTTGGCTTTGAACTCTGCCCTGGGGTTACATCCATCTTTTAAGGGGGCAGATCTTCCACAAAGACGTTTTTTAAAACTCTTTTCAAAAGTAATCCTTTCTCGAGTAAAATGGTTAAGAGATGAATAGGGGTGAAAGAGGAGAAGTTTTAGACTGGAGTTTTGGATGTTATGATTCAAATACTTCAAATTAAATAGTTTATATAAATGTGATTCATTTCTAATACAGGCAAATTATTATTAATTTTGCTCATTGCAAAAAAAAGTTGCACATGTTGAATCATTTTAATGACCCAAGATGTAAGCTATCTACTGAATTAAATCTTACTATATCATCAGACATTAGGGATAAGGGCTATGTTGAAGTGATGGTTTCTATGGCAACAACACAGCAGCCAGTATGTCTAAGTTTTGATTCCGGTGCGGAATGGTTTTGGATTTGTTTTGACCAGAGAAGTAGGCCAGAAAGGTAAATATTTGAGATGCTTTTGAAAAAAGAAGAACGCAGAAAGATTTCAAGACCGGTGCAGAGCTGGCTAAACACTGAAGCTTCCGTGCCACATAGAAACCTGCAAGCACATCGACTCTAGATTAGGACTGCTGTACCCATTTTATAGAAAGTAGAAAATAGAAAGGCGATTACAGATAAGAATTTGCTCTTATTCATCTAAAGATGCATGGCTCAGTCAGCCGTCTCTCAACCAGAAGGTCGGGGGTTAGATCCCCAGCTCCTGCAGCCAGATGTACGATGTGTCTTTGGGCAAGACACTTAACCCCAAATTTCTGTAACGCTGCTTTGTTGGTGGCGTATGAAAGTGGACAACTTAAGAACCTCTGCCCTCAGTGTTTGAATGTGTAGGTGTGACCTGCGGTGTAAAAACGCTTTGAGTGGTCAGAAGACTAGAAAAGTGTTATAAAAGCTCCCTCATGTCCATTTACCATTTAGACTTGCTCCTATAATCTGATTTAATCATATTTATAAAGCAACTTATCAACAGGTCACCTGGTTAAACGTGATTCATCATAATACAAACACATTACTCTCTGAAGATGTTAGCATTTTTCCGTTTTGCTGTGCTGCTTTTGTTATTATGAATCAAAGACAAATCTCAAAATCTGGTTTATAACAGTCAGATGGCTCCCCAGAAGGGTAGGCCTTTTTTTCAGGGTGATTATATACAGTAGCTGACTTTTTACTGCTTTTTGTGAATCGAACTGACTGGCTGCTTGTTTTCGCTGTTAGAATATGGAGCGAGTTGGTATGAGAACAGTTAAGCGAGAGGTGTGCAGTGTGAGGCTTAAATGAAGGCTGTAAATTATGTTCTGCACTGTGGGAAATCAGAGGTCTTGCTATTGGAGAGACATATACGTGTGTGTGTGTGTGCTGCACCTGCCAAGTGGATCCATGATAACAGTTTTCAAATACTTATCCTCAATGAATACCTATCAGTGTGGTGCTGTATAAAGTTCAGGGTCAGGGCCAACAGATGACAGGTTGTTCTTTTAAGGAATAAAAAGGTGCCGTGTTGATCAGAAATCTCTCAAGAAAAAAATACAGGATTATTATTGATGGTAATGTCACAAGCATTCAAAGAATCTCAGATCACTTTTCCTTTTATTGAGCTGTCAGACTAGAAGTGTGAAATTAAAGCAGTGAGCTTGACAAGAAGTGAATCAGTGGGGAAAGGTTTGCAATTATATGGAATGAATTTAATTATCTCTTATTTAAAGAAATGGTTAAAAAAATGAAATCAGGCAGGAGTTGCTTTAATTAGTTGCTTTAGACTTATTTTTTTACTCTCACATAAATGGGTCAACTTAGAACACGACACCTGTATGTTGTGATCAACAAACATGGACCTCGACCTGTTCAGATAAGTCATGCTTGTTCAGGTTTTGACCATTATTGACCCAGAAGTTGCTTTTGTTCTTAACATGTTGCCTTAAACACTTTTTCTGAAACTGTAAGTTGTAATAAAAGCTTGGCATTTTCATTTCAGAACATAATTTGTTGATTATTTCCGTTTATATTTTGGAATACTTTAACTTGGAAACAGTGCACAAATAGCCCCTGCTTGCGCTTTGATTAACAGTTTCCCTGCTCATCAATACATATTGCATTCCATCAGGAGGGGGATCTGAGAGAGTTGTATCAAAAATCAGGGAGAGAATCAGAATCTTAAAGTAGATGTAGAGAAGGAGCTTGACAGTGAGGACATGTCCTAAGCCAGAGAACAGGGTATCTAATTATAGTTTAAGAAAAAGTTACAGTATTGACCTTGAATATTATATGTTGTGTAAGATCTCATTTTATTCAAAACGCCACGAGACAGAGTTCTGAGGCAAGCAAACCCAGAAACCATTCATGCCCTGTCTCACAAACTTAATGCTGGTATAATAAGAAGAATATGTGATGAGGATGTGTGCTCCTTATACAAGCTGTGCCTGATCACAGCTGTTCTGGAGTTGGAGAACTTCACTGATGCAACACAGTTGAAAGAAAAGTGCCCCTCTTCTTTGCCCTTCTGGCTATTGAAAGGTCTGAATGGAGCGGATTAGAAACACATATTGATATGCAGACAGAAGTTTAAAGGTGTTTCTATGAGGACTGTGTGAGTACCCTCAGTTCAACAGTAATGATGGTTTAAACAGAACCTTAGGTTACCTGTGGCTTCCTACTGACAAAATGAATCCGTACATATTTCAGGCTTTGAGTTAATGCAGAGTTCTACATTTGAGTTTTATGCAAGAGGTCCTAGGGGGGGGGTTTAAAAAAAAAGCCTTGCACTGCCTCTAAGCTAGATGTAAACAGCCCTACCTGCTGGCATACATTCAAACTTTTCTGTCCCCACCTGTTTTTTGTCTCAGTCCCCTGCGAGCTGTAAGATACATGACGTCAAGAGAGTTGTGTGACATAAACTTGAAACAAACTTTACCTCAAACCCCCTCCCTTTGTCCATTTGTCCCAGTCCACTGTGCTGTCAGACACAGAAAAGGTGTAGCTGAGGCTTATTTTTAGGACAGTGTGCGTGTGGGAACTGTCCAGCTCTTTGAGCGTGAAGGTGGATCAGATCCGATTCTTCTTGCCAAAAAACAAATGGGAAAATGTCTTAGTGGCAGTTTTGTGGAAAGAGGCAGAAGGGCAAGCAAGACATTAGAGTAGGATGAATAGAAGAATGTACCCTAT